AATTTGCCTGTTGGTTTGTATTCTTGTCTTAGCATTACTTTTATTGTATTTATGTAAAAATAACAAAAATAAAAGCTAACTCTCTCCACGATCACCTCTACCTCAAAGACCACCACCACCACTACAACCACTATCACCATCCCTCTCCAAGACCACTACTACCACTACAACCACTATCACCATCCCTCTCCAAGACCACTACTACCACCATCACCACTACCTCTCTCCAAGACCACCACCACCACCACCACTACATCTCTCCAAGACCACAACCACCACTACCACTCTCTATGACAACCACCAACACTACCACAACCACTACCACCACCACCACTACCTCCCTCCAGGACCACAAACACCACTACCTCTCTCCATGACCACCACCACCACCACCACTATCTCTCTCCAAGATCCCCACCACCAATACCTCTCTCCATGACCACCACCACCACCACCACCACCACCACCACCACACCCACTACCTCCACTACCACTACCTATCTCTCCAGGACAACCACTATAACCACCACCACTATTACCACCACCACAAATACCTCTCTCTCCAAGACCACCACCATCGCCACTACCTCTCTCTCCAAGACCACCACCACCACTACCTCTCTCCAAGACCACCACCACCACCACTACCTCTCGCCAAGACCACCACCACCACCACCACTACCTCTCTCCAAGACCACCAACACCCCCACCACCACCTCTCTCTCCAAGACCACCACCACCATCACCACTACCTCTCTCCAAGACCACCACCACTACTACCACCACCACCACCACTACCACCACATCTACCTCTCTCCAAGAACACCACCACTACCACCATCACCACCGCTACCACCACAACTACCTATCTCTATGACCACCACCACCACCAGTACCTCTGTCTCCAAAACCACCACCTCAACCACCATTACCTCTCTTCGAGACCACCACCACCACAACCACCACCAACATCAAAACCACCACCACCATCAAAACCACCACCACTACCTCCCTCCAAGACCACCACAACCACCATCCACACCACTACCACCACCATAAAAACCACCCCACCACCACCATTACCTCTCTCCAAGACCACCACCACCCCCACCACCACCGCTACCTCTTTTCAAGAACCCCCACCACCCCTCAACCACCACCACCACAACCATTACCTCTCTCTAAGACTACCATCACCCTCACCACTACCATTTTTCAAGAACCACCACCACCATCACTACCTTTTTTCAAGACCACCACCACTACCATTTTTCAAGAACCACCACCACCAACACTACATTTTTTCAAGACCACCACCACCATCATTTCCACCACTACCTCTCTCCAAGAACACCACCAACACAACCACCACTACCACCACCACCACCTCTTTGCAAGACTACCAACACCACCACCCCTTCAACCACCACTCTCCCCATTCTAACTACTACCACCACTTCCAACACCACCTCTACCAACACCACCACTTCCACAACCACTACCAACACCACCACCACTACCTCTCGCCAAGACCACCACCACCACTACCTCTCGCCAAGACCACCACCACCACCACTTCCTCTCTCCAAGACCACCACGACCACCACTACCTCTCGCCAAGACCACAACCACCACCACTACCACTACCTCTCTCCAGGACCACCACCACCACCACTACCTCTCGCCAAGACCACCACCACCACCACTACCACTACTTCTCTCCAAGACCACCACCACCACCACCACCACTACCTCTCGCCAAGACCACCACCACCACCATTACCACTACCTCTCTCCAAGACCACCACCACCACCACTACCACTACCTCTCTCCAAGACCACCACCACGACCACCACCACTACCTCTCGCCAAGACCACCACCACCACCACTACCTCTCGCCAAGACCACCACCACTACCATTACCACTACCTCTCTCCAAGACCACCACCACCACCACTACCACTACCTCTCTCCAAGACCACCACCACGACCACCACCACTACCTCTCGCCAAGACCACCACCACCACCACTACCTCTCTCCAAGACCTCCACCACCACCACTACCTCTCGCCAAGACCACCACCACCACCACCACTACCTCTCGCCAAGACCACCACCACCACCACCACCACCACCACCACTACCTCTCGCCAAGACCACCACCACCACCACCACCACCACCACTACCTCTCGCCAAGACCACCACCACCACCACCACCACTACCTCTCGCCAAGACCACCACCACCACCACCACCACCACCACTACCTCTCGCCAAGACCACCACCACCACTACCTCTCGCCAAGACCACCACCACCACTACCTCTCGCCAAGACCACCACCACCACCACCACCACTACCTCTCGCCAAGACCACCACCACCACCACTGCCTCTCGCCAAGACCACCACCACCACCACCACCACCACTACCTCTCTCCAAGACCACCAATACCACGCCTAACACTCTCCAAGACCATGAACCCTATCACCACCACTCCCACTCCCGAAGACCCCGATCGTTACCACAACAACTACCACTTTCTACGACCCAGAACACTTCTACCACCACCACCACCATTCTCATTAACCATAAACACCACCACCTCCAGCATCACCACTAGCAGTCTCCACCACAACCATTCCCACAAACTACCTCACACCTCACCACCACCCCCAATATTATCCAGACCAACTGCAGTCCAACATCCGCTATCCACAGAGCTGGATAATACTCTCGCTTTGTTAACACAGTTTAATGGTGTTGTCCCTTGCGGTATTGAGCAGAGTCACCTGGAAACTAGTGAATGGAACCTGATTACATTCATCCAGGATTCCAGCCACAGATTTACTCAAGAAGCGAGTCGTGGAACACAGACCGACGCGGGTGTTTAAACACCCGTATACACGAACGGGAGTCTGATTTGATTTATTATTCTGCATTGTGTTACATAATATAACAACGGTTGTCTCTCGTGTAGTTCCGCGTAGTGCGTCTTAATAGCGGTTAATACACAAATTGTATAAATTCCTGCTGGTTTAACAGGAATTTATACAGCAGACATGATATATACGTATATCATGTAATATGAATAATTAAATAATAATTAAATAATAATTAAATAATAATTTAATAATAATTAAATAATTAAATTAATAATTAAAATACTTGTCATTGTACCTGCAGCTATAACTGCAGTTATAACTCATAACTCATTATAACTGCAGCTATAACTCGTAACTCATTATAACTGCAGCTATAACTCTTTCTGAGTACACACAAATATGTAACGAATATCGGACTCCTGTCATATGAACGACTTTACTTGCTGACTGTCCTCAATATGCAACTCTTATACGCACATCTATCTAGAGGTATAGACTGTCCTCTATACGCACCTCTATCTAGAGGTATAGACTGTCCTCTATACGCACATCTATCTAGAGGTATAGACTGTCCTCTATACGCACCTCAATATAGAAGTACAGACTGTCATCTAGACGCACCTATGTATAGAGGTACAGACTGTCCTCTAGACGCTCCTCTATATAGAGGTATGTTGTTGAATTAGGGGCGACGACGATCGTGGGATCAGATGCGCCCCGGAGTACCCAGTAAGGGTTAATCGTGAAGCCCGGAAAGGTGAAACGCCAAAGCAAATCGCGAAACAAGTGACGCCAATCACTGAAAACTAATATGCCATGCGGCAAAGACACGCAGACAGGCAGATGATTGGGGAGCCCCAGGAGTCCCTCAGGGTGACAAGCACCGGCCCCGCCCCTCACAGAGAACACTGGGTAGCAAAACCAAAAATCCGACCCCCAACTAAAACTCAAAAGTCAGCCAGTGCCCTCCGACAGAGTAGAAGCCCGCCGCCAACCACGACTGAGGGCACACCAGGAGCCCACCAAACCCCGCCAACTCCCGGCACCACTCGGCCAAGCCGGCTCCCCGAACACCGTCACCCCGCCCGGAGAACCTGCCAGAACACGTAAAAGAAAACTATCAACAATCCCGTGACCCAAGGCGATATGTGCGCCAGGCGTCGTACAACCGGACCGTTGAATAGGGAGGCCAAACGGCAGTAGCAAACGCGTAAACAGGACGTGAACCGGCGGCTCCCAGACGGAGGTGGTGTCCAGACATCCGCTCGGCGTCAAGGTTGAACCAGGAGTCCTATATAGAGGTATAGACTGTACTCTAGACGCACCTCCATATAGAGGTATAGAGTGTCCTCTAGATGCACCTCCATATAGAGGTATAGAGTGTCCTCTAGACGCACCTCCATATAGAGGTATAGAGTGTCCTCTAGTCGCATCTCCATATAGAGGTATAGACTGTACTCTAGACGCACCTCCATATAGAGGTATAGAGTGTCCTCTAGATGCACCTCCATATAGAGGTATAGAGTGTCCTCTAGTCGCATCTCCATATAGAGGTATAGACTGTACTCTAGACGCACCTCCATATAGAGGTATAGTGTCCTCTAGACGTACCTCCATATAGAGGTATAGTGTCCTCTAGACGTACCTCCATATAGAGGTATAGACTGTCTTCTAGACGTACCTCCATATAGAGGTATAGACTGTCCTCTAGACGCATCTCCATATAGAGGTATAGAGTGTCCTCTAGACGCATCTCCATATAGAGGTATATAGTGTACTCTAGACGCACCTCCATATAGAGGTACAGACTGTCATCTAGACGCACCTCCATATAGAGGTAGAGACTGTCCTCTAGACGCATCTCCATATAGAGGTACAGACTGTCCTCTAGACGCACCTCTATATAGAGGTATAGGCTGTCCTCTATACGATAGGCTTGAGTCGAGGTACCCTCCCAAGAATGAACGATTCATCCTTCCCGGAATCAAACCACACAACAGTTCTCTAATTCCCCGGATATCAATTTACAGCAAGGTAAACAGTAACATTAGTTGAAATAAAACGTGCCCAACCCCGCCTGGGAATCAATACCCCACAAAGGCTGAATTCCAAAATGTTTGCAGTATACTTCACCACCAATCTGCTACTGCACTTGTGGCTGAAAGTAAACTTGTCTGCGTTTTGATGTTTTCCACAACTTTGAATGATGACATGCGAAAGGTGGTAAGATTGCTCACGAAGGAAGATATTGAAATGCACAGCAGCTTACGAGTAATAGTGTGCAGCACCTTTTCTACTGTACTGCACAGGAACTTGTGTGTAATAATGTGCAGGATCTTGTATGTAATAGCGCACAGCAGCTTGTATGTAATAGTGCACAACAGCTTGTGTGTAATAGTGCACAGCAGCTTGTGTGTAATAGTGCACAGCAGCTTGTATGTAATAGTGCACAGCAGCATGTGTGTAATAGTGCACAGCATCTTGTGTGCAATAGTGCACAGCAACTTGTGTGTAATAGTGCACAGCATCTTGTGTGTAATAGTGCACAGCAGCTTGTATGTAATAGTGCACAGCAGCTTGTATGTAATAGTGCACAGCAACTTGTGTGTAATAGTGCACAGCATCTTGTGTGTAATAGTGCACAGCAGCTTGTATGTAATAGTGCACAGCAGGTTGTGTGTAATAGTGCACAGCAGCTTGTGTGTAATAATGCACAGCATCTTGTGTATAATAGTGCACAGCAGCTTGTGTGTAATAGTGCACAGCAGCTTGTATGTAATAGTGCACAGCATCTTGTGTGTAATAGTTCACAGCAGCTTGTATGTAATAGTGCACAGCAGCTTGTATGTAATAGTGCACAGCATCTTGTGTGTAATAGTTCACAGCAGCTTGTGTGTAATAGTTCACAGCAGGTTGTGTGTAATAGTGCACAGCAGCTTGTGTGTAATAATGCACAGCATCTTGTGTATAATAGTGCACAGCAGCTTGTGTGTAATAATGCACAGCATCTTGTGTGTAACAGTGCACAGCATCTTGCGTGTAATAGTGTGCAGCTTATCAAACGGAATTTCCTCACAATATAAAAATAAATCGATGGGTCTCTATCTCTCATTGTTTGTAACTGTGATTCACAGTTACACATTTATCACAGTTAACGTGTGCACAGTTCACACGAGAGTGTAAACCTTCACTCACCACAGTTAGCGTCTTCACAGTTCACACCTGAGACATTTAGTGGTCGCAGTGAGCACATACACAGTCTACACCCGCGAGTGTTGCTCCTTACATCAACAATAAAAACACCAAGAAACCTGTCTTCATTACTCAAAATATTATAAATATCTGTTTTATACAAGTCACAAGACCAACAACAATGTGGGTTCCGATTGACTTCCCTGGAAACACAAACCGAAACTGTCTCTATTTTCTGCTTGTTACAGCTTGTAATAAAGTTGTTACATCTTGGCTTAACGTGTTTATGACGTATTAGAACGTTGTTACAACTTGATATATTGGTTGTTATAACTGGTTAGGAAGTGTTAAAACTTGTTCGAACGTTGTACCAACGTCGTAGTTTCGGTGTGTGTTTGGCGGGTTAATCATTAATTTGTCATAAAAAAACTAAATAAAAAACAAAACAAAACACGGAGGTATAATAAATATTACACAAACAAAAACGACGTAACATAAGTAACAACAAACTTCAAAGTAGCAATTAAAATATAAAGAAGTTGCAATATCCCCAAAATATAAACAGTGGCAAAAACATGTAGCCGCAGAAGTAGCTCCAGCATCAATGCCTTGAGACAATCAACCCGGAAACTTAGCAAGTAACTGTATCAACTGTAAAGTAACAAAGATTTAAGAAACATTTAAATTTGACAGTGACAGCAAACAGATGCAACAATATAAAAAAAATACATCAAAACAACAAAAACACACACATACAACAAAAAACACACACATCCAACAACAAACCCACACACATCCAACAATAAAAACATACACATTCAACAGCAAACACACACACATACAACAACAACAAACTTAAATTACACTAAAACCAAAACATACCTAACAGAAAAGGCACAAGTAATATCACAATCAACAAATAAAAAACTAAAAAAAAAAACATAAAAACACCGCTTCATGGTATTTGCTACCACCAAAAACAGAAAATTAATAAAATTCAGCCACTCACATACACAAAAAAAAACTTATTCAGGTTTTTGCTTGTATGCCTGTGGTCCAATATTGCCTACCTGATGCTGATAAATTTTCAAATATTCACTTAAAAATTTCCAAACCTCATAAACAGAAGCAAATATTACTTCAAAACATTAAGGATTTTTATACTGAACAACATTTTTCATTAATTTACAACCGATATATAAAAGTTCAATGGTCATTTTTTTTTGTTTAGTTTTCTATAATGGAAATTGGTTTCATACGTAACATTTAATGTTGTTTGCTTTATTTATACAAAACATACGTGCCTCAATATTTTCTAATAGAGATATCAGGTTTGAATGATTTCAGTTATGCCGGTGAATGTACTTACTGTGATATCAAGCATACCGAAAAGTCTTCTGTTCTCTTAAACTTATGTTACACTTAAGCAGTTACCAGCGGTTGATAGGCTTAAAGTGGGGTTGATAGGTTTACCAAAACCTATATCGGCTTATAAAGTCTTATCAACCTCTGGGGGGTTACTAAGGTCACAACAATAGCATACTGACTGAACAATAAGTCTACTTTTGTGCTGAATGTATTTCATGTCTTAAATAAGCTTCACAGAACACATGCACTGAGAGGGGGGGGGGGTGCTTCACCTCTCCGTGTACGAATCAAGTTGGAAAAATGTAAGTAATAAATTATTCAGGATAGAGAGAAAAAGAGCAATATTTCACCATTTTGTTGTATGCTACGAACAAAAATCTTATTTGAAAATTTTAAACAAAAACTCTTACAAAATATGGCGAATAATTCCAGTGGTCCTACCAGGACTAGAAAAGGATTTATTCAGTGAGAAGTTCATTTAGAATTTTGCATTTTGAAAATTGCAATCCTCCAAAAGGGGAAACTATTTTAATAACATCAGAGATATTTACATAATTTAAAAGCAAGATGAGCTCTCGTGCCTTTCAAAAAGTAATCAGCAAATTGGATGTCCCTTGAAGAAAACGGATGGCGTTGGTTATGGATGGAATAAAAAAAAAAATTGCTTTCACCTTGTTGGACTTGATTGATGTATTTTGTCATATTTATAAAAGTTTTGTCAATCAAATTCTGGAAAGTTTGATGAATCAAAGGCAAGCTGAAAGCATTGCTTTCTCGTAATAGTAAAATTTTGTGTAATTATACAATGAAACCTCTTTCTTTTCCGATTTAATTTACATTATGAAAACATACATAGATAACATTATGGTAACATTATGATAACATTATGGCAACATTATGAAACATTATGATATAACATATATATGTTATATGATTACATATTACGTATATTAAGAATGCCTTTAAAAACATTGTTTTAAGGGCATTCTTATCACTACAAGGGCTACTTCTGTGACCATTGTTAAGACTGCTTCAGTTGCTCCTGCTGCTAACTGCTAGTTCCTTGACTAGGCTTTCTATTGCTTACTATTACTGTTTGCTTCTACTGCTGTCTTTATTACTTCTACTATTGCCACTATCACTGTTGCTGTGATTATCATTACTACTACACACTGACATATATATTGACGAATATATATCAACAATAAAATTTTAGTTTAAATGTTATTGAATTGAATAAAAATCTACCGAGAATAAAAATTATTCGTATAATATTTTTTTTACAAACCAAGATTTGAATTCTATTTCCATTGGTAGAAAGGATTTTACACAACGAATAGGAAAACCACGTTCGTAAAATTCATGCAAAGATTTTGCCCATTATACACAGATATATATCAACTTCCATGACAGCAACACACGCAAACATTTTCACGCTGCAAAAAAGAATTTCCCAACAGCAAGAGAAGGGCCAGAAGCAGGGGAACAATCCCAGAAGCCATTTGACAGGTAATTCATTTTTTTGGAACATACCCCCCCCCCCCAAAAAAAAAGGTCAGAAACCATGGATTAGTATTCCAAACAGATATCGCTTACGCTCAGCAATCTAATTTTGCCTAATGAAACAATTTATAATAAATGTACAAAAAATAAATCTTGGAAAAAATTCACAATTGATACAGGTCACAATTGATACAATTGATACAAATTCTCAATTGATACATGGCCCTTTTTTATTTCATTTAAAATAAATATATGTGTCGCTCATTAGATCTGAAATAAAGTTTATATGCATGGGGAAAAAATATATATCCTTAATTATGCACAGAAGAAAAATAACGTTTTATATTCATTCTGCGAATTCAACCCGAGAGAACACTTTGTAGGACGATTATGAAGAATATTCCGGAGGTCAAAATTTTTAATTTCCTAGAATAGTGAGACATATGTAAAATGGTTCTTTTTATCTCACATTTATTTTACCTTGTTAGTTGTTGCAGGCCATACGACAAAAGTATACACATACATAAACGCGCAAGTATCCACATAGCAAATCATAAAACGAAATTAATCCGAGCGCTTTTGTGATTTAACAGATTTACAAGAAGTGCAGCAGAGAGATAATGCATAGTGTGGAATTATATAACCACACACCTGAGCTGATTAATAAATATAAACAAAACAGTGGAAGTGACATGATGGGAATAGAACAACTACAGCATCACACATATAACGGAAATAAGCCATCTGCAGCTGTATCCTTTTAGTGAAAATTTTGTACCTATCACAAATCTTATAAATTATAGTTTAATTGTCTAATTTAGACAATCCTGAACTTAAATTAATAATATCTAATTCACTGCTTAATATAAATGCTGATTTAATAATATTATTTTACTAACCGATTTATGATAATTTTGCATGATTTATTCCAGTCAGTTGATTACAATCTTTTAAATGAACAAACCATACCTTTGACTTTTCACCTATCTTTATGATTACCTAAGGAAATTCCAGTCTTTATCGTTCCTTGTCTGACATTGCCACTCACAGTGTTCATCACGTTTTAATTTCTTCGTGATACACACACTCATGGGAATGAGCAAATACAGGGAACTGATGTTTGAGCATCTGGTCGAAGAAGGGTTAATATACACAAGGAAGGGCTCAGAAAACAGAAGGCTGGCATTCCAAAAGGGACGCTTCCACACTGTGGTCTACACCAAGGAAGGCCAATAGGCCGTCTGCAGTTACTTTCATTCTTATATTTTCATACCTACCTCACACAAAACGTTTTGTATCATATTACCTCACCAGTTATATATATATATATATATATATATATATATATATATATATATATATATATATATATATATATATATATATATATATATATATATATATATATATATATATATATATATATATATATATATATATATATATATATATATAAATAAGACCGAAAAAGTAAGATTAATAATTCTAATACGAATTTTCTCAATCTTTCGTACATTTCTTTTCACTGTTGGAGGTAATTCAAAAATCAATTCTCCAAAATTCATTTTTATTTCTAGTCTGACGCGACACGAGCGCGTTTCGTAAAACTTATTACATTTTCAAAGACTTTAGTTTACAAATACACAACTGAATAGAACTTACACATCTTCGATTTTTGTTTATATCTACATTTGAGTGAGGTGGATGGGGTGAGGTGGCATTAATAAGGTATTAATTTCATCAACACAAGACAGAACAAGAGGTATATATATATATATATATATATATATATATATATATATATATATATATATATATATATATATATATATATATATATATATATATATATATATATATATATATGTCGTACCTAATAGCCAGAACGCACTTCTCAGCCTACTATGCAAGACCCGATTTGCCTAATAAGCCAAGTTTTCCTGAATTAATATATTTTCTCTAATTTTTTTCATATAAAATGATAAAGCTACCCATTTCATTATGTATGAGGTCAATTTTT